TCTTTTGCATGATAATTAGATTTATTCTCTTAAATAAACAGTTCTGAATGCTAAAGGGTAGCTAGTATTTTTAATATAATTCACTAGTGATTTTCACTTTTGACTAATTGTTTACAAAACTGAATTGTCTACTGACACATACATAGGCAACATTATCATCTCTTAGGTTGAAAACAGTCATATTTTGACTTATTAGTCATCTACATTTTCCATTTTCCATTACTGCACATAAAGGAAAACTTTAAATTTTTATGTATGGGTATCATACAGCTCTTCTTTTCTACCTTATTATCCCACCCCAATATTATATTAACTAATAATGAGGACTATGCTTGTACAACTACAAAGAAAAAAAAATGGAGTTACAATATGAACATACCAGTGCTATTATTTATTTTTTTCTGTGTTCAATAATCTCCCTTTTAATTATATTCCCTGATAGATGTATTTAAAGTCAACATTTGCATCCTTAGTTTTGAAGATACTGTGTTAATAAAGAAAATGTATTGTCTATTTCAGTAGATCTCAAACTTTTTTCAAAATGGCCCGTTTAAGTGAGTCTAAAGAGTTCAGAGCTCCCATCTACCCTGACACCCTGACATTTTCTCATAGAAAAAGTGTTATATGGTTATAAAGAAATAGAACAAAATAATATAGCAACAACAAAAACAGTTGTAAAATAATTACACAAGAATACAATGGTCAACAAAGTAAATCCATAGTTATTGTACAAATATATTCATTATTGTAAGAATAGTCTAGGTGCTAAACTTCAACAAATGCAATATATTGGGAATGGTATTTTGATTGAAAGAACATCCCTTTGGAAAATTATAGAAATTCCAGCTATCTTCTGCAAAGTTACCTAACAGTTGTAGCAAGTTTTCAGACTTATTGATGGAATACTGCATTTCAATATTTAATAAATACTAGAATCTCATGAATTTAATTAATTAATACTGAATTTTATGAATTGTTGATTGGTTTACTAGATTGCCAGTGAGTAGCCTTAAATTGTATATAAAATTAAAATGTATGGATTATAATCACATTATGTCACTCTGTGACTAACTTAAAGTAATTCCATAACCCACCAGTGGGCCATGAATGCAACATTGATTGACATTGTCACTTACTTATACTGCAAAGAAGTGGCAACTATATATTTAAACACTATGAGTATTCATGAATTGTTTTGGCACTTGATTAATGTTTTATGTAAAAAAAATTTCATTAAATGTCAATGATTATTTCAAAGAAAATTGGTTTATTTGTGTCAAAATTTGAAACATAAAGAGTATTCATCTCTGTCATCATCATTATCCTTAACTAAACCTGCAGGGTTTCCCCATCCCTATTCAAATCCTAGATATAATCTGAACACTTCAGTACAGGCATTAATTTACTAATCTTCACAAAACTCATAAGATTTCTCAGTGTAGATGTGCTTATTTCTAAGGAATAATTTTAGAATTTAGTAAAAGAACTATTAGAGATAGTCATTTTAACGATGTCATGAGCTAGGATATGTGGAATAACTTTATTTTTACCTTGCTTCTTTGCACTGAAGACTTGAGGCAGATTCAATATATCTGTCTATTTTTGTATGGAAATAAAATAATTGTAGTCCATGATAATTGTAAGAGAAATAAACAGGGTGATGAGAAAAATACGAGAGTAGCTTCACCATGCCACTGGAAATAATATTGTCAATGAAGGCCTTGTATGAAACGGCAAACTCTAAACTGATCCACGACTGTTTAAATCACAGTTATGAGATTTAACTGGTTATGAGAGAATCCAGTTAATGATAACCACCGCTGAATTGTGTAAACAAGAAAACTGGGCATGGCTCTTGGTGCCTCATTTCCTTCTCTCACATTCAGACAGTAGGGCCTATTGATGTACTTGTAAATCTCTGCCAGGTCAGGCCCTTTTTCACTTTTCCCCATTACTATTATCCTAACCTACAACAGCTTCTACTGCTGTAGTCTCATAACAGGTCTCCTTCTAATCTCTCCTGAACCCTGTAATCAATTCTCCTGAGTTTGATTTCTAATACAAACCTGATTATACCATTCCTATTTAGTCATGATAGTGCCTTCCCTTGCTTTTCACATAATTCCCAAAATCTTCATCATGACTTCTGAAGGGACACCAATTAATCTGCTCCTTGTTCACCTCCCAGCTGCTAAACCCCAGCTACAGTGCCCTTTGTGCCGTTCTCCTAAGGCTCCATGCCCTTCTCTTCTAAAAGCTTCTCTCTCCGCCTGGAGGCACCCACCCTCATCCCATTCCCAATTCCTTCTTTCCCATTCCATCTCATATTACACATTCTTCCTTAGAGAAACATTTCCTAAATTATCCCTTCAATTCATACACCAGGTTAAAATGTCCTTAAACTGGAAATCTGTATTGGTAACCATTTTATTCATGTTTGTATCCTCAGACTTTAGCACAATGTTATTAGAAGTTTAAATTTTGGTTAATTAACAAATGAATACACAGACTGAATGAATCTTTGGTGAAATTATAGATAGGTTGTTAGATATAAGAGATTTTCATCTTGTTATTTAAAAACTAGATAAACATTTACTGCACTTACACATAATTTATGCCATATAAGTATCAATATTAAAATATGAAGGTAGAAAAATGTTTTTTAAATTTCTGTTATATTTACAGTGCTGTTTTCCCAAACCACAATTATTCTAGACTTCCCTTTTTATACAGCATCCTCCTGGCTTTCTTCCCACCAATCCCTACCAGTATTCCCTCTTACCTGCTCATCCTTTACTTATCTTTTAGGGCTTCACTTAGTTGTTACCTTCTTTTGCCTCACCACTACATATCCAGATCTTTATTATCACTGTATTATATTTTTATACCTCAAATACATTTCTGTTATTAAAAAATTGTTTTTGTACATTAACATTATCTGCCTTCATACGCTTTGCCAACCCCAATCCCAGCTGGTAGAATGTGAGCTTCCTGACATAAGACCTATATAACATTCATTTTTATTTCCTCAGCAAATAAGTATCCAAATGATTATTGAATTAATGATAGATTTTTACTATGATCTCTTCAGTGTTAAAAGGAAGAGCATCAAATTGAATACTTCTACCAATTTTTATTTTTCTTTAAAAACATACTTTACATATTTTTATTATAAACATTTTTATAATTTATTTGTGCTTCAGCTTTTTTCTATAACTTTCTCATTAGTGAATATTGAGTTCGAGTTCTTTTGCATGATAATTAGATTTATTCTCTTAAATAAACAGTTCTGAATGCTAAAGGGTAGCTAGTATTTTTAATATAATTCACTAGTGATTTTCACTTTTGACTAATTGTTTACAAAACTGAATTGTCTACTGACACATACATAGGCAACATTATCATCTCTTAGGTTGAAAACAGTCATATTTTGACTTATTAGTCATCTACATTTTCCATTTTCCATTACTGCACATAAAGGAAAACTTTAAATTTTTATGTATGGGTATCATACAGCTCTTCTTTTCTACCTTATTATCCCACCCCAATATTATATTAACTAATAATGAGGACTATGCTTGTACAACTACAAAGAAAAAAAAATGGAGTTACAATATGAACATACCAGTGCTATTATTTATTTTTTTCTGTGTTCAATAATCTCCCTTTTAATTATATTCCCTGATAGATGTATTTAAAGTCAACATTTGCATCCTTAGTTTTGAAGATACTGTGTTAATAAAGAAAATGTATTGTCTATTTCAGTAGATCTCAAACTTTTTTCAAAATGGCCCGTTTAAGTGAGTCTAAAGAGTTCAGAGCTCCCATCTACCCTGACACCCTGACATTTTCTCATAGAAAAAGTGTTATATGGTTATAAAGAAATAGAACAAAATAATATAGCAACAACAAAAACAGTTGTAAAATAATTACACAAGAATACAATGGTCAACAAAGTAAATCCATAGTTATTGTACAAATATATTCATTATTGTAAGAATAGTCTAGGTGCTAAACTTCAACAAATGCAATATATTGGGAATGGTATTTTGATTGAAAGAACATCCCTTTGGAAAATTATAGAAATTCCAGCTATCTTCTGCAAAGTTACCTAACAGTTGTAGCAAGTTTTCAGACTTATTGATGGAATACTGCATTTCAATATTTAATAAATACTAGAATCTCATGAATTTAATTAATTAATACTGAATTTTATGAATTGTTGATTGGTTTACTAGATTGCCAGTGAGTAGCCTTAAATTGTATATAAAATTAAAATGTATGGATTATAATCACATTATGTCACTCTGTGACTAACTTAAAGTAATTCCATAACCCACCAGTGGGCCATGAATGCAACATTGATTGACATTGTCACTTACTTATACTTAAACCCTATAATGTATTCCATTCAGTGTTACATTCCATTTGTCTTTGGTTTGGGGGCCTTAACCAAATTTTACAAACTCATTAACTCAGTGCATGTTTCTTTCTATTTTAAGGATTTCTCTAAAGTGCCAATTATATAATAATACTTTAAAATATTCTTCTTGTACAATTAAAAATGGCCAAAAAGGATTTTTTGATTCCCATTTTTCAGTATATATATAATACATATATATACTGTATTATAAAACTTGGAATTTGGTTGGGGATTCACAACACAAACTCATCGGTGTCCAGTTTAGAAACTCACAGGGAAAAATCATAGGGCAAACTTTAGACTAAACCACCCAAATGGATAATTAAGGTGAGAATAATTTTTAGGAGTAAGATTCCTCAGAGGAGCTTCCGAAAGACATGAATGTGAAATCAGGTATTGTACAGAATGATGGCTTTACAGGAAAACTCAGGAAATGTACTCCACTTGAAGATGGAGTATAACAATGGTGTCTTGGCTCAATTACTATAACTTCTATGCAAAACAGTTATCCACAGAGACCAGTAAAATCACTTACTTAATTTTTTTTTTCCTTTTTATTCTGATTTCAAAATTGCAGTTGAAATCTGGAGAGACAGCTGCCAACATTGCTAGGGAGCTGGCTGAACAAACAAGAAATCATTTGAATGCTGGAGATATCACCTACTCAGTCCGTGCCATGGATCAGCTGGTAGGCCTTCTCGATGTACAGCTCCGCAACCTGACCCCAGGTGGAAAAGACAGTGCTGCACGCAGTTTAAACAAGGTAAGGATCTTTATTATATACTATATGTATATATAATACATTTAAAGTTGTAGCAGAATCAGTGAGACTTGATGGTTAATTTCTCTCTTTCTATAAAATCAGATCATTTCTACAGAGCATTATTACTAGTTATATTCAGTTCACTTCACTATTTCATTATAATGATGGCCCTATTGGGCTTTTAATCTAAAGAAACAGTGGATGATAATTTCTCCATATATATTTTTAATTTACAGTTCTTTTTTCTGCAGTGTTTACTCTGTTTTTTATCCTAAATTTTGACAGGATTAATTTGAATAATGCAATTTATTTTATTTTTTTCTTTCAATCTTTTATTTAAAATCATTAACAAAAAAGTCTAATAACAGAAATGTCAAAAGTAGCAACAATGAAAAAGGATATTAGCAATTCATTATAGCTATTTTAAAAATGAAATAATTTAACCTAATTAATATTACTTTTTAAAAAAATGGGATAATTAATTAGGTTTTTAGTTCCTTTTTTAAATTTAAATTACCCAGATTTTGCATCACTATCATTAAAACTTATAAGATTTAAATGTATTCCAGCAAATTTGAATTGTAAATAATGAAAATAGTTCATGTTTTGAATTTCAGAGATATACATTATATGTATTTTATTTAGTTATATACAATATATGTATATATATTACATACACAAATATAATCACTTTAAATATTTACTGTATTTAAATAACCTATACACTATAGAAGCACTTCATTTACATAAATATATAAAATATATTTTACATATTTGTAAGGAATATAATATACTTTTGTAATGAAATGTCACATGGTGCATTAAACCTGTAATGAAAAGTTATTAGAATTGATACCATCAAATGAGATGTATTCCCTGAAAGGTATGTATATAGTAGAAGTGATCAGTGATTGAAACCAGATTTTAAGACCTTGAATGCCACTATAACCTTTTGGTTGGGGATTCACAACACAAACTCATCGGTGTCCAGTTTAGAAACTCACAGGGAAAAATCATAGGGCAAACTTTAGACTAAACCACCCAAATGGATAATTAAGGTGAGAATAATTTTTAGGAGTAAGATTCCTCAGAGGAGCTTCCGAAAGACATGAATGTGAAATCAGGTATTGTACAGAATGATGGCTTTACAGGAAAACTCAGGAAATGTACTCCACTTGAAGATGGAGTATAACAATGGTGTCTTGGCTCAATTACTATAACTTCTATGCAAAACAGTTATCCACAGAGACCAGTAAAATCACTTACTTAATTTTTTTTTTCCTTTTTATTCTGATTTCAAAATTGCAGTTGAAATCTGGAGAGACAGCTGCCAACATTGCTAGGGAGCTGGCTGAACAAACAAGAAATCATTTGAATGCTGGAGATATCACCTACTCAGTCCGTGCCATGGATCAGCTGGTAGGCCTTCTCGATGTACAGCTCCGCAACCTGACCCCAGGTGGAAAAGACAGTGCTGCACGCAGTTTAAACAAGGTAAGGATCTTTATTATATACTATATGTATATATAATACATTTAAAGTTGTAGCAGAATCAGTGAGACTTGATGGTTAATTTCTCTCTTTCTATAAAATCAGATCATTTCTACAGAGCATTATTACTAGTTATATTCAGTTCACTTCACTATTTCATTATAATGATGGCCCTATTGGGCTTTTAATCTAAAGAAACAGTGGATGATAATTTCTCCATATATATTTTTAATTTACAGTTCTTTTTTCTGCAGTGTTTACTCTGTTTTTTATCCTAAATTTTGACAGGATTAATTTGAATAATGCAATTTATTTTATTTTTTTCTTTCAATCTTTTATTTAAAATCATTAACAAAAAAGTCTAATAACAGAAATGTCAAAAGTAGCAACAATGAAAAAGGATATTAGCAATTCATTATAGCTATTTTAAAAATGAAATAATTTAACCTAATTAATATTACTTTTTAAAAAAATGGGATAATTAATTAGGTTTTTAGTTCCTTTTTTAAATTTAAATTACCCAGATTTTGCATCACTATCATTAAAACTTATAAGATTTAAATGTATTCCAGCAAATTTGAATTGTAAATAATGAAAATAGTTCATGTTTTGAATTTCAGAGATATACATTATATGTATTTTATTTAGTATATACAATATATGTATATATATTACATACACAAATATAATCACTTTAAATATTTACTGTATTTAAATAACCTATACACTATAGAAGCACTTCATTTACATAAAGATATAAAATATATTTTACATATTTGTAAGGAATATAATATACTTTTGTAATGAAATGTCACATGGTGCATTAAACCTGTAATGAAAAGTTATTAGAATTGATACCATCAAATGAGATGTATTCCCTGAAAGGTATGTATATAGTAGAAGTGATCAGTGATTGAAACCAGATTTTAAGACCTTGAATGCCACTATAACCTTGCTACTTTAAAAGGCAAGAATTTGACAGTGACAGACTTAATATCCTTCATGGAATACAACTAAATGAATATTCCCTTATGGAATGAAAAATAACTTTGCAGACAGTTCTTTTTATGTTAAATTATTTTGTGTCTTATTAGACTAAGAGTCTCACTCATCAAGTTGGAAAACAGTTTTTTAAATAATGGTGGTTCAGCATAGGAATGCCTTATAGTTTATCCGGCAAATACAGTTTTTCCAGCAATTTCATCCTCAGAAACAGATCCGGTTCTATCTATTAGATATGAATTATTATTAAAATTTTACTATTAAGTCTTTTTTTTTCATGCGGAGCATAAAGGAGTTATTTTTGTCACGTATGCCTCTGATAGAATCACAACTAAGCCCCTAATAGAATATAATTCACAGTTGCCTATATAATCCAGGCATGCTGTGATTTTAATGTGTTATTACCCAGGCTGACTGGATGCTATTAATGAATATTGCTGCCAGCTATTGTTATCAAAATGTACTGGAAGTAGTAATTTCTATTAATGTTACATATCCATAACATTACTTGTTATTGCAATACTTTGTATCTTTATTTAAAAATGGTGTTGATGTCTGACAATACCAGGTAAAGCTGGCAATTAATGTCACATTCTAACTGGCTACAGCTAATCAGCTTGCCTACCCTGAATATCAAATAACTACGTAATGGGAAAATTTCCATTTGTGAAGCTTTTTAATGCTCTCTCTTGTTTTCCATTTGGTTCTTTTCAATTGTTTATATAATGTGGTTTGTCATATGTTAATTTGCATGATGGGGTAAAGAGATGGGAGGGCAAAGGTTGTTCACATGCTTGCTGGCTTGCTCTCATTTCCTGTGATTCCCACTGTTGCCTGAAGCAGTTATAACCCATCAGATTTGCAAAGTCAACTTCATACAAATCAATTGTGCTCCACATTGAAATTCTAGAGGGTTTAGAGTCCTGCAAAACCAAGATGTGAGTCAGTGATCCAAATGACAGCGCTGGCAATTTACTTGCACTCATTCCTCACTAATTCTTTAGGGGAGTAACTGCTCTCTGCTCTTTGAAGAATGCATGAATTAAAGCTGGAAGAGAATATCAGCCACACAAAAGGCATCAGAGTAACTGCTTCCTAAACTTGGGTAATTTTCTCCTTCAACAACAAAGGCTACTGAGGGTTAAAATAGGGAAGAGACGGAAAACCGTAATATAATTTATAAAATTTGGCTCTTTTATTTAAACAGGGTAAACAAACTTATTCATTATTTATTTTTTCATCAGGAAAAAATTGCATGGGGCTAAATATAAGTTGCTGTTAAACTTTTGCCCAGAAAAACATCGCTCTGTATGCAAACTAATAAGCAAGCAAACAAAAAGTTTCTTGTCCCCCTAAAATGTGTAAAATTTTGGGTCAAACTATCAAAAGAAATTCTTTGAGAAATAAAAGCAGTGATAAACCAGGAAATTGATCACTCTTTTAACCAGAAATGACTCTTACTACTTGTCCCTTAGGATCAGACAGTCATAATGAATAGGCATTTCTATTTCCCTGATAAACAGAGTTTGTTTGTATGTTTGAACATGTGGTTTGTGGTGCATATTAGCCACCTATATAATCTGCAAATCACAAAAACAATGTACAATCTTTGAAAAATGGGGTTCCAAATTTTTGACATACTTTACTAACTTCATCTGTCTTTATTTGTGGCCCATGAATTAATAACACCTGATGTGAAATGCATCATTTCATGAAAAACACAGTTTTACTAATTTCTACTAAACTTCTTCCAAGATTTCTTTTCATCTTTAACAGCTGCGTACCATCCAGTTTTCACCTGGGTTGTTCTGAGAGGGAGTCAGCTACTATTTTTCAAGCCATTGTTCACATTTTGCTGCTGCTTAGCTTTCATTCTCTTCCGGAAAGTAGTGCACAATAAAATACGGTGTTTGTGTAGATGTGTTCTTTTATTTTCTTGTTTTCTTCTGTCACTAACTTGTTTTTTCTATTCTGTGTTTAATCTGCTGTCTTAATGGATTCAGCTTCAGAAAAGAGAGCGCTCTTGCAGAGCCTATGTCCAGGTACTTTCTGCGTTTTTATACATGTGTTAAGTTGTTGAATTGTCTCTGTTGGTGATGGCATGGATGGGCTTCTGAGAGCAAATGATAATGACCCTGATGAACTAAAGGCATTTCCGGGAGGGCATGAGGGTGGGAGTAGAAAGGCCTATGAAAGGGTATGCGCTAAAAAAAAAATTCGGCAGAAGACAGACAAACAAGGAGGTACAACTTGGGGTGTGAGAATTTGGATCATCGCTGAAAGGTGAGTTGGGCGTACTACATATAAATCTCTGATTTCTTCATAGTGGTGTGTATGAAAACATTTCATTAATACATTGGACCAGCTAATGTTTGAGGAGCAAGTCATTTAGAAATGACAATCAAAGTCATGAGGTCATGAGTAGTCCATGGAATATCATGGTTTTGAACCCAAAATGTTCAACACATGCTGAGACTATTTTCCTGGCCCAAACATTCCTCCCAATGTAAATGTAGTTTTTCTCCAGTTTTCACATGCTGTAATTTGTTTCTAAGCAAGGTAAAAGCCAGTCCTACGTGTATGGGTTTTGTGTGAAAAAGAACCCCAGAACAAGCTTTACAGTTCTTTTGTACAAGGGAAGGGAGGTAGACAGTGTAGGGGCAGAAACATGTTCCCTTCTTCCCTTCTAGGTTCTTTGACTGGCCTAATAACTAAACTGACTTAAAAAAAGATTAACAGAAGAAAGACAAATTTAATTACATATATATGGGAGCCCATGAGGACCTGAGACTCCCAGGCACCTGGGCAGCTGCAGTGTGTGCGCCGCCCCAAGCTGAGCAAGGACGGCCCTGGGCTTCAAACGGGAGGAGAGCAGTGTACAGGGAGACGGGAAGAGCACAAGTTTAGGAATCAGATGTTTGACCTCCTGTGCAGATAATCTTTCAGGAAGAAAAGTTATCTCTGATAATAGCCCTCTTTCTGGGTCAGGCCCCCAATCTAAATTCTTAGGCAGTTATGGGAGAGGTAAAAGTTTTTCTTGAGTCTGCCTGGTCTTGAATTGCTCAAAATAATCCACATGCCAAAGGGCACATTTGGGTGGGTGACTGTGGCTGTGTGTGTGTGTGTGTGGTGTGGGTGTGGGTGCGGGGGAGATTCTGCTCCTCTTCAGCCGGAAGGTAGGAAAATGGAAAAACATGAAATTATGGGATTGTAAACTTTATTCTTTATGTGAATATATCATGGAATTTTTTTTAAAGGGGCAGCCTGTCTGCATTTAGAAAGAGAGATGCCCTCAAGAACCAAGTTACTGGTTCTCAAATTGGCAGTCCAGAAACTAAACTGCATCCGTTTATTCATAATACAGGTATTTTGTGAGACATTTAAAAGTAATTTAGCATCAAGCAGATATTAGGAAGCTTTTAATTTGCATTTTACTTCATAAAATAATTAATCTTTATATATTAGTTTAGTATGTACAATTGAATAGAGAAATTGAAGTATTCTTCAGCAATGAAAGCTGAAGATCATTTATGAACAATAGAATAATTGTTTTGTATTACAATCTATGCTATGCCTTCAATGGGGCCTTGGAAATAATTAGCCTTTCAGTATTTAAATCTTTGAATTGCATGGTCATTCAAACATGAATCTCTGATGGAAAATTAATAGCATAGTTTATTCAGTGGCTGATTTCCTGGTATTATAATTGATTGGCTATGAATAAATGCTTTACCTATTGACTAAACATCTGATAAGACCAAATATAAACAAAATATTGGTAAAGCAGAAATGCTCTGCTCACTGATGGATGGCACTACTTCTGTTTTAGTGTAGATCATTATTCTGTGAAATTCTATAGTGAATAATACTCTAAACTTAAGTTTATTTTACTGTTTTAAAAGTTCTTTTATGTTCCCAATTGTTTCTATGTTCAGAATACATTAGGAAGTATACTGAAAGTGCTTTATGCATTAAATTTGAAAATTGACAATTGTTAAGTCATCATGAAATCTTTAAAACTATGGCCTTTCCATGAGCCCAAAGCAGTGATTCTTCTAGGTTTGATTTTAACCATCTAAATCCACTTAGCTTTTAATTATTTAGAGGTTCAATGATTATTTCATGAATTACCAACATCCATATCTTACTGCTTCTTGCTTCTTACCTTTTGTTTATTTCACTAAAAGAGCACAGTGAAATCTGGCTTGCGAGCTGTCAGCTACGATAACTGATCAATAGGTAAACAATTAAAAGAGGTGACTGCTTTGATTTTCAAAATAATATGTGAATCTCCTAAAACTCATTATGCTTACATCTCAAGAATTTTAACAAAACAAAAAATCTGAGTCAAGTCTATTTTATTTTTTTCTATTTAGTTGTAATTTTAGATTACACTAAAATGCTTGTTGACAACCAAAAGATAGAAATTGACATGAGTCATTATAAAAAATATCATGACCAAGTCTTGGAGATTATACATACCTTCATTTAGTAAGAAAGTGTTAAGGTTTTATGCCAGAGGAAACAAGTAAGGCTTGTGTTACATATGCTTATTAAGTAGCTACTATAATATACTATTGCCAAAAGTGACCCTAGGGACCTGAGATCTGGAGAGAGGAAATGACTGGCTCAAGGTCACACAGTTAGCACTAATGGCACTAATGCTGCTCTTCTGACATGCCTCCAATGCTTCTTCAATACCAACAGGGATTTATTAATATGAATATATACATTAATTAGGCACTAATTTGTGGCCATCATCTTGCAGAGCTTTTTGCATGAATTCTTATTTAATATTCACAACAACCCATGATGTAATTATTGCTATGCTTAACTTTGAGTAGAGAAAATGGGACCCAGGGAGGATTAAATGACCTTTACAAGATCACACACTAATACGTGAGGAGGTCCTGAACCCAAAGCTGGGTCCTCCTGATTCGGAAGCTCAAGCTCCCAGTCTGCGAGGTATTGTTACAGAACTGACTTCATTGTTTGGTGTTAGGAGTCAGAATATATCATTTGGTTTATATTTATTGATTTATTGTACTGTATTTCAGAGATGGTATGGAGTAAAACCATTCTTTTGCTATTTCCTTTTTGTATGGACTGAGTTCAAGTGGCTATATGGTAATTATTGTGTAGTGCTGAACTAGGGGCAAATATAAAGATAATTTTCTTTGAGGTTCTTTTGTTTTCTGAGGAGATTTTCATTTAAAAATTTTCATCATGAGAAGAAGAAAACAAGTAGAAAATGTGATGACACTGTGTTAACAAAAGAACTTTCTAACTGTTTTCCTAAGTAACTGCGTCATTTTACATTTACTCCATGGTTCCAGTTAATTCACATCCTTGGCAACATTTACTTTCTGTCTGTTTTTATCTTAGCCATTGTAGCACATGTGAAATGCAGAAGTCCTTAACTCCAGTCATAGAATGGGTGCATGAGAAGCTGTGGGGTATACTCCGTCAGCCAGCACAACAAATCATATGGCCCCAAAGAGAGATCTGTGGTTTGCACAAGAATCTGGAATAGAATAACCTCAAATGGCTTAAGAACAGCTGTCTTCATGTTCTATAAGTGTAACCAGAACTTAGATTCAGATTTTTTCTCATTTTTCAATGCCAAGTTCCCATCTTTTATTTTAATATATGTATGTATATGTATAATTTTTCAATTGAAGTATAGTTGATACACAGTAGTATATTTGCTTTCAAATATAGAACATAGTGATTCGATATTTATCTACATTATTAAATGCTCACCCCAACTAATATAATTCCTATCTATTAATATCTAGGAATATGTTACAGTATTATTGAATATAATATCTATGCTGTACTTTCATCCCCACAACTAATTTATGTTATGATTGAGATTTTGTGCCTTTTTATCCCTTCACCTATTTCGCCAACCACCCCACCCCTTCCTCAAGGTAATCACCAATCACTTTTCAGTGTCTATGGGTCTATTGCTATTTTGTTCATTTTGTTTTGTTTTATTTTTAGATTCCACGTATAAGTGAAATCATACATATTTGTCATTCTCCACCTGGCTTATTTCACCTAGCATGGTACTCTCCAATTCCATCCATGTTGGGACAAATAGCAGGATTTCTTTCTTTTTCATAGTTAAATAACATTCCACTGTGTACACTGTGTATATGCACCACCTCTTTTTTATCCACTCATCTACTGATGGGTACTTTGGTTGCTTCCATATCTTGGCTATTGTAAAGAATGTGGAAGTAAACACAGGAGTGCATGTTATATATCTTTTCAAATCAGAGATTTTGTTTTCTTTGGGTAAATCCTAGAAGTGGAATTGGTGAGTCATATGGTATTTCTATTTTTAGTTTTTTGAGGAACATCCATATTGCTTTCCACAGTGACTGCACCGATTTACATTCCCACCAACAGTGTTGGAGGGCTCCCTTTTCTCCACATCCTCACCAACACTTGTTATTCCTTGTCTTCTGGATAGTGGCCATTCTGACTGGTGTGAGGTGATACCTCATTGTGGTTTTAATTTGCATTTCCCTGATGATTAGTGATGTGGGGCTTCTTTTCATGTGCCTGTTGGCCACCTATATGTCTTCTTTGGAAAAATGTTCTGTTAAGGTTCTCACCCATTTTTTAATCAGGTAGTTTGCTTTTTGGTCTTTATATGAATGAGTTCTTTATATATTTTGGATGTTAAAACCTTATTATATAAATCATTAATGAATATATTCCTCCATATTGTAAGCTCCCATTTTGCTCTGTTGATGGTGTCTTTTGCTGTCCAGAATTTTTTAGTTTGATGTAGTCACACTTGTTTATGTTTGCTTTTGTTTCCCTTGCCTGGGTAGATGTATCCAGAAAGAAGTTACTCATACTTATGTTCAAGACCCATATTTTAAATAATAATGTTTGTTATCATCACTTTCTTTATTAACAAGAACTATTAAGAACTACTGACATTCATTTTGTATTGTTTTAAAAGCTGGCCATTTTCGTAGTTAAGAAATATATTTTAATTTTTATCACCAGTGTCTTTTCCTCC